TCATGGTCTGGTTCCCAAGCATCCTGGAGCTGCCCAAGATGCTTGTAGTCAGCATCAGTGTGCACCAAGAGCTGGTTCTAATAACACAAGTATCGAACTTATTCACTCATTTAACAAATACTTATTGATTACTTGCTATGTGTTAGGAATACTGCAGTAGGAACCATATACTGGGATGTAGCAGTAAACAAAACAAAGCCCTTGCCTTTACGAAGCACTTCAGTCTGTGGGGAGCAGAAACTAAGAACACAAATATACCATTCAGGTGGTAATCAGAGATGCGCCTATCACAAAGTGAGACGGAGGCACAGACTAGGGAGAGCCAAGTGGCCATGGACTGACCAGAGGAGCCTCTGATGCGGCAACACCTCAGGTTGCCCTTTGTCCTACACACACACACACACACACACACACACACACACACAAGCGCACGCACACATAACCAAACCACACATACATTAGCCTTCTTTTGCAGTAAGGATCCTCATGGTTCTTGACTAGAGACTGCCTGGGCTGATTCTGTAGCCCATCAAGGCCAGATGGAGCAGAGACCCCCACAATAGCTGGAGTTCTCAAGTTTAATAAAGAAGAATTTAACTCAAGAGCAGAGTTCTCAAGTTCAATCAAACAAACTAATCCAACTGCACTTCAGTTGAATTAAGGACATGTCCAGCCATCACCACTTGGAGGAGAGGGACAAGCTGGAGTGAAATAACATCAAAATATTCTGTGTTCCAGAAAGTCTGGTTAATACTGGAAGTCCAAGACAGAGAGAGATGTTGGCCATCATCTGTAATTTATTCATAAATCGCCAGCCCTCCCTAGACAACTTTTCAAATAAATTGTGGCACTTGTTTAAATATTTATTGACTTGATGACCTATTTTTTTGGTTAATTAAAAATTTTTAAGAAAACATTGTACTGGCAAATTAATGCAGACAGCCTTAGCAGAGCCACAGCCCTATGAAGCTATAGTTAAACGTTGCTGTGATTTACCAAAATTGTATCTATGGAAGCAAAATTAGTTAGAAATATCAGAAATAGCCTCTCATTGCAAAAAACATGAAAGCCCACCCTTACCCCTCAAGTTGTGATTAGTGTGTGAACACAAAAGCTGTAGAAATATTTGTTTAAAGTACAAAGACTTTCAGCAGTTTTTTCCAATATTCTCCTTTAAATGTGTGTTTAGCCCCAAACCTCCTTTTTTTTTTCCAGGAAGACACTGGCTGCACAATTCTGTGGTTGTTCTTAAAACACAAAAAAGCTATTTTAAGATGTTGCATTTTGAGTCCTTTGGCTGTTTTCTTTTCTTCGAATGGCTTTGTTCTTTAGTAACAACCTTCAGATTAAGTTAGTACTTCCTACATCCTCCCCTCTGGGCTTTCTTGGAGCCAAGCTTAGAGGACCTCAAGAGCACAGTCACAGAGGGGTTTCATGTGGCTTGTCTACAAGCCTATGCACTCCAACTGCCCTCACCGAAAGAGTTTAGTAAGAGAGTTTTAGCAAAAATCTCTGCTCCATGGCAAGAATTGCAACCAGCCAGCCACTAGCGACCATGAAAACTGGTGTGACATAGCAGCCTCAGGTGGCCAGGAAGTGGGCTGAGTGTGGGGCTGCAGGAAAGTATCACTTTAGACATGATAGTCTTCTTTTTAATGTGTTTATGTGCACAATCCTGTGTCTGATCCTATGTTATGCGTATATGGGTGTGCATGTGCACGTGTGTGCATATGCTTATGGAAGCCAGAGCTTGGGCATCATCCTCAAAAAGGCCATTCACCTCCTTTGAGACAAGGTCTCTCATTGGCCTAGAGCTTGCCAGTTGGCTACACTGATCAGCCAGTGAGCTCCGCACTGAGCACTGAGATTACAAGTGTGCACACCACATCTAGAAGTCCTGGTACAGGGGCAAGCGCTTTACCAGCCGAGCTATCTCCCCAGCCCCATGATAATCTGAATTATTAAGTGTTGTCATAGAAAGGGAATGCCTTTGTATGTGTGCGTGACCAAAGAAAGGGCTAGATTTAAATACAGCATTGCTGCTGTATGATGCCATGGAGATGGGTGACATGTCAGGTTAATTACGGTTAATTATGGTTAGAATTAATTACGGTAGAGAGCTAGGTGCTGTACATGTACACATTTGATTTCGTAGATACTGAAAGAATACATTTGAGACCCACTGTTCTCTGATGATGCTGAGCCTTAGAGATATGCTTTACCTCTTCTGCATCAACCCTAACCTACCTCGATAGGATAATGCCTAAGCCTGTGTGTTAACTACTTTTCTCACTGCTGTGAACAAATGCCCGACAGAGGATTTATCTTGGCTCATAGTTGCAGAGGAATTTCAGTCCATCATGGCAGGGAAGGTAGGCCAGACATCATAGCTGTGGAATATTTGTTGAGGGTTCTTCATACCTTAGCAGACCAGGAAGAAGAGGACAGCTCCAATCATCAAGACCCACCCTAGTGACCCACTCGTACCAGCCAGGTCCACCTTCTAAAGACTCTGCAGCCTTCAAAAAATAATGCCACATGCTGGGGAACCAAGCTTTCAAAACATGAGCCAGTGAGAGATATTTCAGATTCAAACTGTAACACCCTGAAATCCAGAGATTTCTCTCACCCTCTTGTGTGCTCTATAGGTGGGGTGAGCCAGGGCATTCACCAGGGATAAACAACCCCTCCTTCTACTGCCACATGGGTCCCATGGCAGGAAAGCAGTCTAGCTAAGAGTAGGGAATTAAAGAAGCTCCAAAACCTTTACCTCATCTCCCATAAAAAGTGATATCTATTGCCCGGCCCTTTGAACAATGAGGATTGGTCCCGTAGTTTACACTAGTGGCAGAGGTAAAATCATGTAACTTGCAAGGCTAGTTCTTAAGAGACCTGGAACTTGGGGTTATATGAGCTTGGAACATTTCCTCTGAGAATGTAGCCATGATGTAAGAAGCCATAAGAAAAGAACCCAGTTGCCTCTGGGATGTTCACCAACACTCCAGCCAGCAGCCAACCAGAGCTGCCCAGGAGTCACGGTGAATATTGCAGTCTATTAGCAACAAAGAACCTTCCAGGTCCACCCAGGTGACCCCAGAATCATGAAAGGTAAGTAGTGGGGCTAGATTTAATACCTCATACCTATAATCATAGAAATTGGGAGGGTGAAGCTGGAGGATTGCCATGAGTTTGAGAACAGCCTAAACTACCTACTGAGTTCTAGGCTAGCCTGGGTTACAGAGCAAGGACATATCTCAAAATAAATAAAAGAAAATTAGTGGTGTTAATGGTTGTCTTAATCTTTTGAGATAGATTAAGATTAATCTTAATATTTTGAGAGAGAGCATTCTGTACGCACACACACGCACACACACACACACACACACACACACACACACACACACATTCCCTCTTGGACGGGAAGATCTCTAAGGTGTTTTCTGCTTGGTTCACCTGGTGTGATGTGGCCAGTAATGGGATTTTTCATCTTCACTTTAGGAGGGTTGGGTGTGCCGGGAGGGTATTTGGGGACCCCACTGGAATACAGAACATTTGTTTCATTCCGTGGCACTCCTAGAACACGTTCATTTGTGAAGACAGAAGTTACCTAGGTTTTCATGTGCAATGATCCAGACTGGGACACAGTGAGGCCTCACCCGGGATCTAGGAGGGCAGAGCCTCTCAGAAAATGCCCAATGAGCTAAAGTTGGCAGCAGGAGGATTATCTTTCTTCCACGCCTAATTTATGACAAGTGCCTTTGTTGAATAGAGGTACAATGAATGGTTTGTTCTCCTTAGAAAATGACTGAGCTTTTTCCTCATCGAGTTATTGGGAGTGCTAAATGTGAAAATGTATGCAGAACTCTTAGCATCTAACTTCTATGCTTTATGTGCAAGATAAACAAATATCCTATCCAAACTGGTGGGATTTATGTTTCCATATTAAGGTGGATGATGACACTGCAATGGTTTACCTCTGGAAGAACAGCTAATCCCACTGTGCCATCACACACTGATACCAGTGTGTGTGGTCTCAACCTGTTGTTTTGATGTCAGGTAGTACCTATGCAACCTTGCTAAATCAAATGAGTTATGGCAGCAGATCATCTTCATCCATGACACTTTCTTCCTGACATTCTCTGATAAATCAAGTAACAGCTGTTCATCAGACTCTGAAGATAAGGTCATTTTTTAGCCTGACCTTTGGCAAAAGACAGCACTGCCTGCAAGCTGCTGGGAAAAGCCAGTCCTTCATCAAGTGTAAATGCCTGGGAAATCCCATGTTCATTACACGTGACAGAAAGGCTTGTCCCACCCTAGGGCTGATGACCTTGTGCACCTCATATACGTGTTCCCAAGGATGTGTTCCATCAAACTCTCTAAAACTATGCTTGCTTTGGATGAGTTCCCACAGCAGATTTGCCAGGCTGCTGTGCTTCCAGGGAGACAGACTACCCTCCCCTTCACCTGGCCCACTGGTTCTGATTCCACCTAGTTTTTCAACTCAAGTTAGAAAAGGAAAACTCCTTTCGGGTTGGTTTAGAGAGGCAAAGTGAAGGGATGCAGCTTTTTTCCCCCTTGCAAGAGCTAAAAATCCAACACAACTTTTTTCAAAGGGTTTGAGGAGATAAGGCTGAGACACTGAGGAGGACAGAATGCCTATTTCAGCCGGTTCCTCAAGGCAACAGAGGAAGCTTAGTGGCCACAGGAGTCTAGTTAATGAGCGGATTATACAATATTCATTGTGTTGAGTTTAACTCTTCAAACAGAACATCTAATTGCAAGAGGGGAAAAAAAAGCTAAATTACAGATGTTAAGACAACAAAGCTGGAGGAACTCCCTCTGTTGATAAACCTGTCCTTTCGCGCTTTCCTCTGCTGACTGCACACTGGCAGGAGGCGCAGTGTGTCCCAGGCCTCATCAGGAATTCTCATTAACTCAGTTTTGACTAAGATACTCTATGGAGGCCACGGAAGGAGGGACCCGGTCCGAGGGTGTCCTCAGAGGACTGTTTTCTTACTCCCCATAGAAGGAGAAAGCCTTCTGCTTGAACCAAGACAAAACTGCTTCCCTCCACCTTCCTGACACGCATTCTCCCCAGCGTCACTCCTGGCAACAGCATCCGTAGGAGGTTCGCTGAAGGACACCTCTCTCCGCTTGTGGCAATACTGAGTATGCGGGTAGCAAAGGCCAGCAGCCAGGGCCATGCCCAGGGCAGCCGAAAGGCAAATCAGGAGTCCGAGCTGGGAGGACCTGAGATGGAGCTCCAAAGAGGCACTGACTCCCTCAAGTCCAATTTCAGGCCTTAGTTTGGTCTTGCTAAAGTATCCCATGCCACCCTTCGCAGTCCTCTCCTCTACTCTGGACTCAGATGAAAAGCTGGCGGAGAGCTTTGATGCCTCTGACTGGCTCCTGGAAATGTCAGAGGTGTGGAAGTCAGGGGTTGGGTTGGCTACCCAGGCCCTGTTCCTAGTGAACGCTTCAGGGAACCAGAGGTGCTGAGGCTTAGAAAGACGGTCAGGGTACAGGGTAGGCTCCATCATGGACCTGTTAGAGGCTGTCATCTTATCCTAAAAAAGAAAAAAGAAGCCGATCTTACCACAAGTCGCCCCAAGACTTGCAACTCACCTGTGTTCCTTAAAGACTCCCAGGCAGCAGCTGAAGGCAGCCTCTTGCTGCTCCTTAGAGAGTGCACAGCCAAGTATCCAAGTAGATAAATATGCATTTGTCATTGATATGGATGGGGTAACTAATGGAAACCCCACACAGAGCGTGGGAGCTACTTACAAGGATAACTATGGGGTCCCTTAAGAGGCTTCCAAATCCAAATAGAGGATTCTGTCATTCCTGATGACTGAAAGCTCTGAGGGTGTCTCTTTATGGCAGGCCATGCGCAGGAAAGATCTTTTAATCTTACTGTAGGTTCCAATAAATTTAACTAGGAATATTATACCATGTTTTATTTTGTGTTCTTTCTGAGATGTCAAAGGACGAGTAAATCAGCAGGCAGGTACATTTTATATTGCCCATTGATCTAACCACTGGGACCACACATGGTGTTTTGAGGCCAGTGTTATAAAGATGGAAAGGAGCGGGAGACGAGAGAAAGATTATTAACCAAGACTAAGTGGGAAAGCAAATCACTAAAACCATAAATTTTCTGCAGTTGCTGGTAACTCAGAAACACTGCCTAGATGGGAAGGGCTGGCATTGATTAGGACGAGGACACTGCGTATACCACCCTGGCCTTCTCTCTGACTTCAGCCCCTAGGCTAATAGCATTCTTTTCCAAAGCTGACTCTTCCCACTCTGGGGTCAAAAGACAACCTCAACCCCATCCCCAGCACACATTCTTTCCTGTTCACCTTTATCCAAGGACAGACAAGTTTCCAAAGAATTAAAGTTTATAGCACCCTGAGTCCTAAAGGGAGGAACTGGAGGGCTGAGAGGGATTCATAAAGTATTTGAAATCAAAAGCAATGTTTTCCACCAAAGTTGTATGTTTTCATGAAAACAGATCTCCCTGGAATAACTCCTGAGTGTGGATGGCAGAGGGGAAAGTTGGGGGGTATACGGGTAGCAGTGGAGAACTCAAGAAATACTCTCATTCATTTGGTACCTAACATAAAATATACATTTATATATTATATTAAGAATTTAAAAGTATATTTTATTTAGTACGCACATCTCAGAATTCAGTTTCCCTGAAAAAATGAATTCATTTTGACCAGTAGCTCTAATACCATGAAGATACATCATACACTTAAGAATAAATTTGGACAAGATTTTTTTGTTGTTGTTGTTAGATTCCTAAACAAGCACCCCAGTTGTTACCCTCGTGCCATCTAATGGCTGATCTCATCAACTATTACCTATGCTGGGTGCTTGGGCTGGAGACAAAGCCCTCTGGGGAAGTTTTCCTGAGGGCCACAAGCCTCTCCAGCCTGTGGATATCCAGGGATGGTTCTAGGGTTGGGTTACTCTCTCCACTGGGTTGCTGACCATTGCTGCTTACAGTAGATGTGTGTGAAGGTGTTAGAGACAGAGTCTCTGCATCCTCAGGCAACTTTGTCACCTTAATATTAGCAAGAACAGAGTCTGGCATGTCCTCATCTGCAGATCCTGTAATGCAAAAGCAAAGACATCTGAGCATTTCTGTGGAAGCCAAGTGGCGGTCTGAAGATACCTATAGAGACAGAGTATATTTCTCCTGTATTGACTGGAATAAACAACTACGACAACAGGATAAATAGTGGGGACTCCACTGTGCTTTCAAGAAAATCATTAAATTTGAGCCACTCAGATGTGCCAATGTTAAAATGATCTGCCTAGTAATATAAGGCCCTATTCTTAAAGAGGATGTCTCTGGCACTTCTGGATTTGTGAATGCTTAATAACCACCACAGAAGAAATATAGAGACAACTGGACTGTTCCCTGTATTATTCATTTTTTTAAATCTCTACCAAAATCTGTTCTTAAATGGAAAAAAAATCCCACTACACACACACACACACACACACATATATATATATATGTCTACCTGTAGCCCCAGCTGGCCTGGAACTCACTATGTAGACCAGGCTGGCCTTGAGCTCACAGAGATCCACGTCCCTCAACCTCCTCCTCAGTGCTGGGATTAAAGGCTTGTGCCACCACGCCCAGCTAATGAAATATTTGTTTTTGTCTTTTTGAGACAGGGTTCCCCTGTAGCACCAGCTGGCTTGGAACTCACTATGTAGATCAGGCTTGCCTTGAACTCACAGAGATCCGCCTGCCTCTGCCTCCTCAGTGCTGGGACTAAAGGCGTGTGCCACCATACCTGGCATACAAATCATATTTTTAAGGTCCCAGATTTATTTTTGCCATAATACTAATACTGTAAGTTTCTCTGAAGATGATAATTACTTGGGCATCTGCTGTAGGTAGAGCCAAAATCACTAACCTCCACTGCCCTCCACTATCAATATCTGACTAATGTGAAGTCCCAAAGCAACGGAAATAGTTGGACACAGGGCAGCCAGTGGGCAAGAACACACTGCAGAGGCAGGTTATCATCTGGGTTCATGCTTCACTTGGCTAATTTCTAACTCTAGGCAAGTCCTCCTTGAGAATTAATGTCTTTGTTTGTGAATGGAGCTAATAATAGTACGGAAGCATGAGAGAAGCCCCGTGCTTGGCACATAGGCAACACGCACTTGAGGGTTGACTACAGTGAAAACCGAATGACAGGTGGTGTTGACAGTGAAGGTGTTGAAGTTGGAAGAAGTTGCTCTGGCCATTTATTGTGATCTTTTGTTTCAATGTTTTCATCATGCAGAAACATTGAGAAAAAGAATATCTTAGCTCAGGCACACAAAATAAATGGACAGCCTGGAGTTCCTGCCTCACCTGTCATGTACTTGGCTATTTCCCACAGGCTCACTGTGTGTGAGCATTGCTGTGGTGGCTAGGAATGCAGAAAATCATGCAGATCTGGAATCACCCCTAAACTCAGTATCTAAGAAGAGAGATCCTTGTATGTCCAACCATGAAAACTACAATGTGATGAGCACTTTGCCACCAGAGCTAAACAAGAATTACCTATTTCTACAGTATGAATATACTACCCCCAGCCCAATCCACGTTGAAACCTAACCCCAGTTCCATAGTAATAAGGAATGGAGTCAGTAGGCAGTGAACAGGTCACCAGGGGTTAGTCCCCTTATAAAAAGGTCTGAGGGAGTGTGTTCATGCCTTCTTCCGTGGGAGGATATGTAGAAGGCACTGTCTCTAGGCTACCATCTGGCCGTCACCGGACAGATACTACCTGAAGCTCGACCTTGGACTTCCGAGCCTCTAGAACAGAGACTACCTTTCTATTGTTTGAAAAATTTCCCCAAAGAAGGCATTTTGCTCTAGTAGCCTAAACTAAGGCACTTGTCTACCAAGAATCACAGGAAAGGTTTCACCAAAGAGCCATTTGAAATGCGTCTTGGAAGTCATGTAAACTAAGGAATGGTTTGGTTTGAGTAATGTCAGAAGGAAGGTATGACGATACCTAATGGGATGGTGCAGGCCCCTAAGGTGTCCTGAGGGTGCGCTGGCAGATGTGTTTTAGAAACCTTATCTACTCTTGTAATGCTCATCATATTGGTAAATCACCATGTGTTGTTTGAGCTCACTGAGGAACTGACTCTGGGATCAGGGTTTCCCAGCCCCATTTCAGACCCCATTTGTCTCAAGGTGTCCTCCAAGGCCCTTCATCTGGGTATGGACTGACCCCCCCCCCCGACTCTGTGATAGGGAAGGAAGAGAACTACAAAACAGCCCAAGAGTGAAAACATCGTGCCCTTGAGAAGAGCTAGAAAGCAAACTGTTCCCAGCAGTGGTTACTATTATTTGTCCCATGATATAAAAGTGCGTACAGTGATGGGAAAGAGAAGCTGAAGTTCAGCCGTGGGGGTTCAGTGCCTGACTTGTTATCTCTACCTGCTGCTGTTTGTTCTTTCACTTAGATGCCTCACCCAAAGGGACACTCTGCTCTGCCAGGGACTCTTTATCTATCTATCATCTGTCTATCTATCTATCTATCTATCTATCTATCTATCGCCTCACCCAAAGGGACACTCTGCTCTGCCAGGGACTCTTTATGGTATGCCAGCTGACTGCCTTTAAAGGGCTTCTCCGGTTGATTTCTGGTGAATGTTTTGAGTGCCAGATTTGATGATATTTTTCCATCCATCTGTCTGTCTATCTATCTATCTGTCTATCTATCTATCTATCTATCATCTATATCTATCATCTATCTATCTATCATCTATCTATTATCTATCTATCATCTATCTATCTATCTATCTAATCATCAATCAATCAATCATTTATCTAATCTATTTATTTTTGAGATAGGGTCTCCCTTCTCTATCATCTACCTACCTACTCATCCCTCCCTCCCTTACTATTTATTCTTTTACTTTGACTTGCTATATATATTAAAAAAATCACTCATTCAAAACCAAAAATGCAACTATCACAGATCACTCTCCAGACTATACAGAACAACACTTTTCTTCAGTTTTGATAAATCATAATTTTTACCAACTAAATCTTCTTCTTATTAAGATATTATTGCAAGCTATGTATGGTGGTGCACGTCTTTAGTCTCAACGCTCAGGAAGCAGAGGCAGGTGGATCTCTGTGAGATGGTGGCCACATAGTGAGTTCCAGGCCAGCTGTGGCTACAGGGAGACACTGTCTCAAGAAGGAGAGAGAGAGAGAGAGAGAGAGAGAGAGAGAGAGAGAGAGATTTTGCACTTTATTAGATACACACAGTCCTTTTTCCTTTGGGAATCACTAGAATTTATGTAGCTGAATGGGTAGAAACAGCAGGACCAGAGGAGAGGAAAGTGGACGGCACAATAATCTCACCCTGTCAGCTGCCTAGGCTCACATCTGGGGCTCCAGGGTGGTACCAAGTTTCCTAGTAGGTGAGTCAGGCAGCCAAGGAGCTGATGGCTCGGTGCGATGCCTGCTTTTGAAGCCTCATTCTCATCAGCGTCCATATTAAAGCAGATCTTGTTATGGCATGGATTAGAGTGCAACATTTGCCTGATTTGTGAAATGAGATATGTGACTTTAAATGTGGATCAGGTACGCAGGGTTTGCTCCAGGCCAACTCTCAGAACCTGCAATCTTTACTTTAAGGATGACTTGGTGGAAAAAGGCTGGAGGGGCTATGCTGAGCAGCAGGAGAAAAGAAAAGGTTTGGGGGCAAAAGCAGGAAGGGAGGGAGGCTGTTATTGATACACTGTTAATTACATCTGTGGCTGAGTCTATTAGCCTGAGCAGAAGTAGGGCTCTGGTTGAGTTCTGTACTTAATGTATTAGCAAGGAATTAAGGGAAGAATAAAGGAAAATGAGAGACAGTTAAGGACCAGATTCTGTGGAAACAAGTCATTGGATATTTTCATGAGTATATTTGCTCAAAGCCTTAGGAAGAAATAAATGATTAGAAGGGCCAAATTATAAGAATTTTCAGGTAAACCAAACATCCTGTAGCAGATTAGGGGACTGTTTGTTTGAATCCCTCCTCCTCCTCCTCCTCCTCCTTTTCCTCCTCCCCCTCCTCCTCTCTCCCTCCTCCCTCCCTCCCTGTTGCTCTCCCTCACCCTCTTCCTGCCGCTGGCTATCTTCCTTCTTTTCTTGTTTTATCTATCTTTTAATTTATTTAATTGATTTATTTATTTACTTTCATTTTATATATGTGTATGACTGTGTTGCCTGCGTGTAGACCCCTCCTCCTCTTCTTCCTCTCCTCCTTTTCTTCTTCCTTTTGAGAAGGTCTCCTTGGTACCCTGGCTGGCCTGAAACTCACTTTGTGGAAGACTGGCCTCGATCTCACAAAGATCCACCTGCCTCTGCCTCCTGAGGGCTGGGATTAAAGGCATGTGCCATCCTTCGTGGCAGTTTTGCTTCCATTTTTCAGAGGTTCCTGGGTCAATGAAATATAAAATCCTCCTTTTCTTCTTCCTTTTGAGAAGGTCTCCTTGGTACCCTGGCTGGCCTGAAACTCACTTTGTGGAAGACTGGCCTCGATCTCACAAAGATCCACCTGCCTCTGCCTCCTGAGGGCTGGGATTAAAGGCATGTGCCATCCTTCGTGGCAGTTTTGCTTCCATTTTTCAGAGGTTCCTGGGTCAATGAAATATAAAACCATGTGCTGACCTAGGGAAAAGTTGATTCCCAGTAAAGCACTCTCATTCCTCACACTCCTTTAGCCTAGGCTGCAAAGAACCATTTTCCTACTATGGAAAATAACAAAAACTGAATGGGAGCTAGCCCAGTTGGTAGAGTGCTTGTCTAGTATACATTAAGCCCTGGTTTCAATCTCTTTGAATAATCTGGCATGGTGATACATGCCTATAATCCTAGTACTTAAGAGATGGAGGCAGGATGATTTGGTTCAAGGTCATCTTTGGTCACATAGCGAGGTCGGGTTAGCCTGGGATACAGGAGACTATTTCAAAAAAAACCAAACAAGTATATTTTTAAAACTGGATGGATATTTTTACAACAGCACGAGGAGAATGAGGAAAAAAGAGGAAGAAAAAGAGAGAGGGGAGGAGGAAGAGGAGAAAGGAGGAGGAGGAGGAAGAAGAGGAGGAGGAGGAGGAGGAAGAGAAGGAGAAAGGAGGAGGAGGAGGGGGGGCGGGGGAAGGGGAGGCAGCTTGTTTCTTTGTGGTCTCCTAGCTTCCCCAAAGGAAGGCCAACATTGAAACACTGTGCTGCCTAGGAGGCACACAGAGCGCAGGCATGTGCTTTCTTCTGGTCTCACAGCATAGTTCTAACTTAATAATTCAACTTAATTTGTTAGGTCCCATCAACAAAGTCTGTTTGTTGCAACAAGACAGAGAGAGCAAGTGGCCCCTCGTTCTCCGAGCACCGTCATGTCCTAGAAGCAGCTGCAGTGGACCATGGCAGGCACATTTTGCCTGTTTTGTAGGGACAGGAAACTGGCAATAATAAGAGGTAAGTGGAAAGAGATCACTATAAAATAATGACGAGAGCCAGGCTCTGAGCACAGTGGCAAATAGTACGTGGGGCAGTTCCTTCAGTAGCATCCAACCTGTGCCAAGGGGTTAGCGCTGGTGACCTGGGCTGCGTGTGGTGGAGGTCGGCAGAGGAGCTTCTGCTGTGTGTCTGCTGAGACACAACACATGATTCAATCCTGGTCCAGTAAACAAAATACGACCGGACAACCGATAAACTGCAGAAACAGAAAGCAGCAATTCCCAGACTGTCTTTGGGTAACACCCAGGACCATCCCAACAGCAAGGACAGAGCACGACAGAAACAGGACAAGAGTCCGAATAGAACCGGGCAGGGACTGGCTTATTCCCCTTTGAGCGACTTCATTCTCTTAGAAACTAAAAACCAATAGCTACGGATAATTAGGGGAATTCTGCATCAATCGGTTGCCTTCCTGAATTAATACAGGCATCAAGAGTAGATCATTTGCATAAGATCTCCCCAAACAAAAAACCAAACTAGACCAAAAATCCTTCATTTGGGCCAAAGGATCTCTTCAGCTGTTCAGACTCAAATGAAAGGTTTTCATCTTCAGCTTTATCGGTTACCACTGATCCACTGTTAATCACATCATTAAGGAATTCATGAGCCAGGCATGGTGGATTGCGCCGTGCTTCCACCACTCAGAGGTAGAGTCAGGGGGACTCAAGTCCAGCCTGGATTACATACTGAGAGCCTATGCTCAAAAATTTGTAATTCTACTAAAAAAATTGCATGATTGTCATAGTAGGTACTATTGAAGATTAGAGATAAGTCATTACTGTCTAAACAGTATTTTGGACACACAATATTTGTCTTCAGTATGAATTGCTTTCGCAAACATGATGTGCGTTATACTGCCAGATTTCCTCCGAAGCAGGGACTACTGTCTCACTGAGGGAATTCAGAAGGCAGAGGTGGCAGTGTGATAAATGCAGCTGAGGTCACCCAGGGAGCCAAGGGACAAGTCAGCCATAGTTTCAGGTCTTGGGCTTGCGGGCTTCCAGACCCAGTGGAGGTAACATTGGCAAGGATTTTTGGAGAAGCCTCTGACGAGTGACCCAGCTCCTTTTTCTGTCACATGAAGACAACAGCTCTGAAGCACTACCTAGGTAGGACATAGTGGATGTGATGGTGAGTTTAAAAACACGAATGGAAGGGCTTGGGAAATAAAAGTGACCACATATATTTAAAGACTTCAAGCCTTGAGTCCTCTGCATCAGACAACATCCCAAGCCACCGTGGAGGCTGGATTACACCATGAGTTGGCATCAACCTGGAAAACAGGCCAGCACACAAGGACCCAGGGTTTCCTCTTTTTCCTTCTACCTATCCTGTCTACTGCAAGGGACCCGCAGGAAAGATGGAGGAGGGCGCTGGGGGTGAGCCATAAACTTCAGCTCTTAGGCTCCCAGTAGGGAGGGGAAATCCTGAAAGGGGGATCACATGGTCTTCAGGGTCCATCTTCAAGCCCAGCCTCCTTCAACTATGTCCATGAGAGGGAATTAAAATGAGGAATGCATACTGTGTTCAGGAAAAAAAAAATCTGTTTCTTGGTAAACACAGTATCAAAAAGAATGGTAAAACTAATGCCTCCCTTTGAGTAGCACAGTGCTATATGTAGTGCTGTTTTTATATGCCATATGACTGGCGTTACTGGTGAAGCTCTAACCTAACCCCTTTTTTCATCCTTATACAACCTTATGAAGTACACGGTGACATTATTATACCATTTTTTGTTGTTCTTTTATGTGTTGTATCCGGGTGTGCGCTTTTCATGTGTGTGGGGTGTACATGTTCATGTGGGTGCGGAGGTCACAGGTAAGCTTTGAGTGTCATTCATCAGATGCTGTCCTCCTCGTTTTTTATGAGACAGGGTCTCTCACTGACCTGGAACTCATCGATTTGCCCAGACTGGGCGGCCAGTGAGCCCCAGGGATCGATCTGCCTGCCTCTGCCTCCCCAGTGCTGGGATTACGAGTGGGCTTCCATACCCAACTGTTTTTTTTTTTTTTTTTTTAATGTGGGTTCTAGGAACCAAACTCGGATCCTCATGTTTGCCCAGAAAGAACATTACTGGTTAAGTTATCTCCCCAGCCCTGTTTGTTTTCTTTCGGAGCTGGCCCAAGTTCCTGGACTCATGCGACCCTCATGTCTCAGCTTCCTGACTAGCTGGACTGCAGGTGCATGCCACCAGGCTCATCTTATTCTGCCCTTCTGACAGAGGGCAGGCCAAGGCACAGAGCCTAAGGTGACTTTCCCTAGGGCCAGGGACATGCCCATCTGCCCATCCACCTCTGCCTATCACCCCATTTTCCCTTTTCTGTGCTACTTGTTCATTCATCCTGTGGACATAATTTTGCAAAGGTCGGCCAAGATTCATGTGCACCAGGAAGGAGGGCAGCATCATGCTCTAGGGCTGTGGATAAAAGCACAGGGAGGGTTTGGGACAGGATTTTGTTGTAGTTACTCTCTGTATAAGCTCCCTAGTGTAAGCAGCTACAGGGACCCTGTGCCTCTACTAAAGTGGAGAGATCAGGGATCTAAGGAGGGGAGGGAGAACCATCCCCCAAAGTAGATTCTCCTACAGGAATCAAATGTTCCCCACAGCTGGACAGGGGCCTTCCACATGAATGAGAAGTTCCTCTTCAGGGACTTGCCAGAACGAGTGACAGTGTCGGCCTCTTCAAAACAAGTCATCAGTTTAGAATGAGGAGGAATGAAGACAGAAGTGCCAGTGAGCTGGTGGTCAGCCACTGTCCGAGCTTGCAGCAGAAATCCCATGAAATCACGACTGCTTCTCACCAACACTACAACAGAAAGCAGCCATTCAGGGGGTCAATCTCCACTCAGTTCTAGTACTGCCTTTACACAGATATTTTCAAAGCTAAAAGCCAACCCTCCCCTCAAAAGCGAACAGTTCATTTGGGGGAAAGAAGTTGAAGTCAAATTTCACGACAAAATAAACTCCATTTGGATAAAAGGTTTGTAAAGGGGCTGGAGAACACCTTAGACGTTAAGAGCACTTGTTGGTTTTCCAGAGGATCTGAGTTCAGTTCCCAGCACCCACATCAGACAGCTCAATATGGTCTGTAATTCTAGCTCCAGGGGATTCAATGTCCTCTTCGGCCTCTATGGACCACACATGTATGTTTATATGTGTTTTGTCTATTTGTACATATGTACCATGTGCATCCCTAGTGCCTGAAGAGGTCAGAAGAGGGCAGTGGATCCCCTGGAACTGGAGTTACAGGCAGTTGTTAGCCACCACGTGGACACTGAGAACTGAACCTGGATCCTCTGCAGGAACAACAAGTGCTCTTAACCACTGAGCCGTCGCTCCAGTCCCTCAGTGAATGTCTATACAGTTAGAATGACCACTCTGAGCTTTGTTTAGGGTTTTACACTTTCACTATCAATTACACATTTTTAAGGACTTATTCACCATACCACCCCCCACACAACTATGACAGAGTTCAAACTAGAAAAACAAGAGGAATAAAGTTTGCTATATTTAAAAAGTTTGAATGTAGATGAACTCAAAATACAAATGATAGGCTAAGAAAATTATTTGTAACATACAATGCAGATAAATATATGAAGTTAAGTGCTAAGGCTGTATCTCGGAGGTGGAGTACTTACCTACATGTGAGCTATATGTATTTATATATGAAAGGTAAAATTATTATACTTAAGCAAATGTTTATATAAATATATATGAGGTTAAGATGATACCACTACCAAATGATGAAATAACACAAACAGAAAATAAAACAAGAAGCTCAGTCGTCATTTAAAAAGTATTTACAGGCCAGCATAATGGCTCAGCAAGAAAGGGTGCTTGCTGTCAAGCCTGATGACTTAAGTTTGATCCCTGGGATCCATATGATGGAAAGGGAGAACCAATTCCAACGTTGTCCTCTGACTTCCACATGTGTATGGCGCCATGTGTGTGTGTGTGTGTGTGTGTGTGTGTGTGTGCGTGTGTGCGTGCACACGCACACACACAAATAAATAAATAATAGAAAATAAAAAGTATTTTAAAATGAGGTGTTATTTCATGTCTATTGTATTGGCAAATACCATGTATGATGGTGTGCTGGATAGCTTTAGTGTCAACTTGACACACCTGGGTTGAGGGAGCCTCAACTGGGAAATTGCCTCTATTGGACTGGCCTGTGGCTATGTCTGAGGGCATCTTCTTGATGAGTGATGTGGGAGGGCCCAGCCCACTCTGGGTGGTGCCACCCCTGGGCAGGTGGGCCTGTGTTGCATAAGAACAGGGGACCAAGCCAGTAAGTGGCGTTCCTCCATGGTCTGTGCTTCAGCTCCTGCCTCCAGATTCCTGTCCTAAGTTCCCATGTTGGGGTCCCTCAGTGATGAACTGTGACTGGGGAGATGTAAGCTAAATAAACCCTTTCCTCTCTAAGTTGGTATTGTTCTGAGTGTTTTGTCACAGCAATGGAGAAACAAACTAAGACAGAAATTGATACCAGAAAGTCGGATGTTGCTGTGACATACCTGACCTTGGTGTTTTGGGGAGGACTGTGGAAGTGTTGGAACTTTGGCCTGGAAAAGCTATTGCGTGCTCAGAGTTTGTTGTTGTGGAGCTTGGAACAGTTATGCTGAAAGAGTTGTAGACAAAGGAGGCCTGGCTTATAAAGTTTCAAAGGGAAGTGGAGACTATCAGGGCTGTTCGTGAGAGATTTTGGATTGAGAATCTGTGTGTTCTGCTAGGCTGGGGCTGAAGAATCAGCTGTGATTAAGAAGAGACCAGAACCTGAAGCAAAACCTTTGCTTTACTGGGACAATTGATGCTGGTTAGCTGGGGCTGAAAAATCAGCTGTAAATAACAAGAGACCAGCATCACTGAGGTGAAGTCTTCTGCGAGGTATTTCCTCAGGGTCAGCACACAGAGGGGACCCGAGCCTCTATCTCAAGCTGGAAGCAGGATATATATATTCTTTGCCCCTCACCCACATGCAGCTAAGGTCGACTGATTGGGTGGGAAGGATAACTGACTCCTCCCTCGACTCCTTGATGTGTGTGTGAAATAGGTGTGACTATAGCCTGCTGCATAGTGGTTGGAGGACACTTCCTGTTAACACTCCACCCATTCCTCTCGCTCTTATGTTCTTTCTGCCAACCTCTTCCACAAAAGTCCCTGAGCCTTGGAGGGCATAGTAGGTGTGGGTTATCTTCCTCCCATTGTAGCAAGGCACTGAACTTTTGGGTCTCTGCTGTGCTTTTTTCTGTCTAATGATGTGAGTTTTGCTAAGGCATATTACTGGAAATGAACTTGTCCAGTCATAAGAAACATGCATGTATAATTTTATTAGGCAGAGTAGAAAGTACTTGTTGCTAACCCTAAAACTCATTTTTCCTCTATTTGTAGTTAGATTCATGAAAATCTTCACCCTCCTTACTGTTAAAATAGTCCACTTAACTAAATTGGAGCCAGTAGTATATAATTAGAATTTTACCTTAAAATTAAATGGCTAGGTTTTTTTTCCTTTTCTTTTCTTCTGTTCCTTGACCCTTTCCTGTTGGTCTCTGACATGGGACGGCATATATATATTGTACTGTCTTATGTTGTGATATTAACATCATTTCTTGGGGACAAAAATTGGAAAGTTTATGGTTTAATAGTGATGTTTGTGTGCCAAGTTGACAAGGGGTCAATTGTGCTGGATAGCTTTAGTGTCAATTTGACACACCTGGGTTGAGGGAGCCTCAACTGGGGAATTTCCTCTATTGGACTGGCCTGTGGCCATGTCTGAGGGGCATCTTCTTGATGTGAGAGGGCCCAGCCCACTGTGGGTGGTACCACCCATGGGCAGGTGGGCCTGGATTGCATAAGAAAGCAGTCTGAGCAGGGGCCAGGGGAGCAAGTCAGTAAGCAGCATTCCTCCATGGCCTGTGCTCCAGCTCCTGCCTCCAGGTTCCTGCTCTGAGTTCCTACCTTGGGCTCTCAGATGAACTGTGACCTGGGATATGTAAGATAAAATAAACCCTTTCCTCCCCAAGTTGGTAGTAGTCAGAGTGTTTTGTCACAGCAATGAAGAACAAACTAAGACAGATGGTAACTGGGTCTGGCAGGACTATAGAAAAGTTAGGGTAGTTACTCACTAGTGCAGGCCTGTAAACCATTTAACTCTCAGGGCATAACCAACAGACCCTGAAAACACAGTAACTGAAATAAGTCAGAGGCAAAGCAACAAATAAGTGACTTCACTTTTGTGAAGTGAGAGACGCAGCCTAAGAAAATTTATAGAGACAGAATAAAAAAACGATTTGAGGTCAACAGGAGCTGTTTTGTTTGCTTATTTGTTTATGTTGAAGATTGAATTCAGGGCTTCATGAATGCTGAGTATTTATTTCTATTCTTTTAATTAAAAATATTTTATTATTTTTATTTTGTGTGTGTGAGTGTATTGCCTGCATGTACATAAGTGCACCAGTGTTTTGCAATGCCTGCGGAGGTCAGAAGAGGGCATCTGGTCTCCTGGAACTGGAATTAGGATGGTTGTTAGCTGCTATGTGGGTGCTGGGAATCCGATGAGTCCTCTGCAAGAGTAGCCAGTGCTCTTAACCACAGTTCTAGTTTGCCTTCAATTGCTGCAACAAAACACTCTGACCAATACCAACTCGGAGAGGAAAGGGTTTTTTTTTTTTATCTTACATTTCCTGGGTCACAGTTCATCACTGAGGGAGCCCAAGGTAGGAAAACAGATCAGGAACCTGGAGGCAGGATCTAGAGCACAGGCCATTGAGGAATGCTGTTTACTAACTTGCCTCCCTGGCCTGTGCTCAGCCTGCTTTCTTACATAACACAGGACCACCTGCCCAGGGGAGGGACCACCCAAAGTGCGCTGGGCCTTCCCACATCACTTATCAAGAAAATGCCCCAAAGACATGGCCACAAGCCAGTCCAATGAAGGAAATTCCCCAACTGAGGCTTCCTCAACCCAGGTGTGTCAAGGGGACAACTAAAGCTATCCAGCACAACCAGAGACCTCTCTCCAGCCCCTTTATCTTTATTTTTAACTGCATTTATCCACAGGGTATAAGATGATGCTATGGTATACAGGATATAAGTGAAATAGTTACTATATCTAAGAAAATTAGCATATTCATCTTCTCACTGAAGTATTCATTGATAGATAAATTTTAGTTATAAAATTACACAGGCCAGGGAGGCAAGTTAGTAAACAGCATTCCTCAATGGCCTGTGCTCTAGATCCTGCCTCCAGGTTCCTGATCTGTTTTCCTACCTTGGGCTCCCTCAGTGATGAACTGTGACCCAGGAAATGTAAGATTATACATAAAGGTTGTTCAGGATAAACATATTTATGCCTGTGATAAGATAAATTTGTATTATACGGAAATGATAAATGATCTTTTGTGATAATGTCACTGTGTTCTCTTTGATAGAGATTACTGTCAATATAGGCATTAGGCACTGTGTGGTTTTCATGGTACAAAAACATCATGTTTAATTTTGACTGATCACTTGCTTCCTGGGACTAAGCCACACTTTAATTCAGGAAGCTCCATCTTGGGACAAACACAATTTGGAACATTCCACTATGTCTTGGGGTCCCCTAAGACTCTCACATACGTACCTGGAATCTTGTCAGCAGGCAAGAAAGACCTGCTGATGTGGATGGTGACGTGGTAGGTGCTGGGGTGCTGGGGCTGAGCTTGGATGTGCCTGGGCCACATGTCTTCACATGCCATGGGGCTGGCACCATGGGAAAAGGCAGACAAGCAGGAAGCCAGGCACAGGATGGTACAAGCCCAGCCTGCAAGGGTAGCCAGGACTCTCATCCTTCCCTTTTCTGCGACATGACAAACAATGGCTTGTTCATGTCCTGTTTAACTCAATGATATGAAGTCTTTTCGGATGTGACTGACCTGAATTCTAGGCTCCCTTTGCTTCTGAGGTAATTTTAGTTTTGTCTCCCTGAGGTCAAGATCAAAAGGCTAGAGGAAGTGTTTCATTTCTAAACACTGAAAAAAAAGAAAACAAACAAATCGTCACTTGTCTATCTTTTATGTTTTATGTGTGGTGCGTGTGGTGTATGTCCTTGTTAGTGTGGGTGTATGCATGTGTGCATGTGGGTATGTATGGCAAAGTGGGCATCAAGAGTCTTTCCTGGACTGATATCCACTTAATATTTTAAAAATTGTGTGTGTGCACCTGTGTGTGTTTGTGTGTATGTGCACGTGCACGTGTACACTCACCCATTCATGTGGGTACATGTGGGTACCAGAAGAGGGTGTTAGATCACCTGGAGCCAGAGTTACAGGTAGTTGTGAGGTGCCTGACATGGGTGCTGGGAACCAAAGTTGAGTGTTCTACATGAACAGTGAGCACTCTTAACCACTAAACCATCTCCCCAGCCCCCATCTTTATTTTTTTGAAGACAGGTCTCTTGTTGAACCAAAAGCTCACCAATTAGCTAGAATGCCTGGCCCACAAGCCTCAGGGATCTGTTTCTTCCCTCTACCCGCAACCCATTCTCTGGCATTAGGGTTACAGACTTGTGGAACCATGCCTGGCTTTTCACACGGGTGTTGGGGATTCAAACTTAGGTCTTCATGCTTTTATGACTGAGCTATATCCAGACCCCCCCGAAACTTCTTTTAAAAAAAGAGGCTTTAATTATTAAGTCAAATAAGTAATAACTGAAAATATTTGTATCCTAGTATGAACTCCGTACAAGCTGTCTGCTAGCCAAGGGTCATGTGAGCTTTAATACACCCACAGAAGTAGATGGTGCAGTGCAGTATGGTTAGACAGCATGACATGTGGCAGCTTGGATGAGTGTCTTAGGTCCACCATTGCAAATTACAGAGCTAAATGCTACTAAACTTCTGTCAACTATGAATTATTTATGGATGACTAAATTCTCAATGCTTTAATATTCCCTGGTCCTTTATTCTTTTTAATTTTGTTTTACTACTTTTAGCAAAGAGAAATTACATGTAAGCCGATTTATTCTACTATACTTGTACACATAAAATAAAAAATAATAAATAAAAAGTGTTTTTCAAAGTTGACGACGTAAAAGAAGTTGGCAGCTAAAATGTTAGCCAAGAGAGCCAATAAGGCAGGAAAGGGGCTCTAGAACATTTAGGGTGGTCCTAGGCATTCTCTCCATTAGTCTCATGCCCAGGCATTGTTAAAGTTTGACTGTTATTTGGCTCTTAGGGCAATGAGAGGTAGTGCCCCTGCCCCTTTAACAAGTGGGTTTTATTTATTTTTATATTTATTTCAAAAATTTTATGTATGAGTGTATTGCCTGAATGTATGTAAGTGCACCCATGTCCTGCAATACCTGCGGAGGTCAGAAGAGGGCATCGGATTCCCCTGGAACTGGAGTTAAGAATGGTTGTTAGCCCCCAAGTGGGAATCAAACCCAGGTTCTCTGCAAGAGCAGCCAGTGCTCTTAACCACTGAACCATCTCTCCATCCCCAATAAGTGGGTTTTTAAAAGGCAAAAACAGAGGCTAGAGAGATGGTATAATGGTTAAGCACACTGGCTGCTCTTGCAGAGGACCCAGGTTCGATTCTCAGCACCCACATGGCGGCTCACAACCATCTGTGACTCCAGTTCCAGGAGATCTGACACCTCTTTGGGTTTTCTCAGACATCAGGCATGCATGTGGTACGTATACATACATGCAGGCAAAACATTCATACACATAAAATAAAAATCTCTAGAAAAATAAAAGGCAGGGGCTGGAGAGATCCCTCGGTGATTTAAAACACTGGCTGCTCTTGCAGAGGACCCAGGTTCGATTCCCAGCACCCATGTGGCAGCGGCAGCTAACAATCATCCATAACTCCAGTCCCAGGGAATAAAACTCCCTCTTCTGACCTCCACAGGCATTGCACAACATGGGCACACTTACCTACACGCAGGCAAAACACTCATACACTTAAAAGAAAAATAATAAATAATATATATATATATATTTTATAATCAATATTTTAATGGTCACCATTGACCTGCCACTGTTCTAGTGTTTTGGATGTTTTTGTTGTTGGTTTTCTGGCCTCTGCTTCCCAAGTGCTGGGATTAAAGGTGTGCACCACCATGCCAGGCAAATAAAATATTTTTAAAAAAGAAAAAGGCAAAAAATAAAACCGAAAAAAAAAAAAACAGAAGAACTGCAGCAACATCGGCTATGCGAACAGAAGATAAAGGACGCGATCCGCACAGTCCAGTCACCATCTCCTGTGCCACCTTCTTGTCTTGTTCCCCGTCACCATCGGCAGCTGTTATGCTGAAGAGTCGGGCGGGGGGAACAGAAAGGTGATCCTCAGCTCTCTTATGAGTCCTTTAGATAATGGCTTTTGCTCCTAGGTCTATTACCCACAAGGTACTACCAGTCAAAACTTCTAATCCCCAAAGGGCACAGTGCAGCTTCCTAGACAGAGAATGGCAAGCCAGGTATGAGAACACAGTCTCAGGGGAGGCGCCCAGAGCACTGGCCATGTTCTTTCACAAGGGCCCCTGGAAAATGTCCCTTGAGCTCTTGTTGATAGGAGAGGATAGCGTCCTCTAAAAAGACAGATCAAACCCAGGTGCTTACAGAGGAGAGCGAATGCCGTATCTCACAGACCCGGGCCACATCCACAAATCCACACTTCCCCACTTCACATCTAGAGGTTACTCCTTTCCCACCAGCATCTGTCTACACGAGCCCTGAAAACCTACCCTCTCACCTGCACGCACACTGTCCTTCAGGCTGGGTGGGACAGCTTCTGAGTCGGGGCTATACAGACTCATCCTTTATGGTCTTGTCTTCTCCCTCTGTCTCCCCCCTAATGGAGAGGCAGCAGCTGTTACCACTGATCCTTAGTGCCAACAGGAACTGTCCTTCCATGTCTAAATCCAGCCTAAATCACATTTTTCTCTAAAGCCACATTCAGACCCTTAGTTTCCAACCGTGGAAACTGGGAAAATAACTAGAAAGAGATGGATCTGGTTTTGCAGGTGCTTGGTAGTGCTATCTATTTGGATAGAGGCCAAGATGTCTCCATCTTCATCTCCCTACCAAGGGGAGACTGTTTGAATCCAACATATCACAGCAGTCTCTGTTTCCTGATCAATGTGGAGTTAACAAGTTACCCCTGGAGAAGTGGGAGTGACAGATGAGAGCAGCGCCTGGGACTAAAACCTTCCACACAGCATTTTCTTTTCCACATGTATTGCACTAAAGCTGGATTTCACAAACTTGCATGCATTTAAAAATTACCTGAGCTGGGTATACTGGCTCATGCCTATAATTCCAACAATCCAGAGGTTGCAGTGAGAGGATTTTGAGGTTGAAAGCAGCCTGAGCTACCTAGCGAGATTATCTCATAAAACAAAACAACCCGTAGAACCTATGGCTCAGGGCCTCTTAGAGAGTCAGAGCTCCCCAGAAGGCAACATCAGTACCAGCATCATTGCAGCAGTAATGGGGTGAAGAGGAATAGACTCAGAAGATGGTATGGAGGTAGCCTTAGTAGGGTTTGGTGGCTCACTGACTGCAGGGTGCCTCAGAGGCTCCGGGGTTCGATGGTGAGAGTAAACTGGGCTGCGAACTCGCTTCACTCCAGAGAGAGCAATGGTCCCACCACTATGCCTGGTCTCCACTTCAGAAAGCTCTAGAAAAGAGTCCTTTAATAAGCAAAGCACTAGTTTAGAGACCAAGTTCTTAGGCTTTCATTACCCATGTACATGAGATATAAGTACTCAAAGGATTTGACCTTCCTTTGACTGAGGACTGCGGTATTCTCAATACATAAAATGAAATCAAATGCATTAAATTCAAGACCTCTGAGGCTCTGTTCCACTAGGATGGAGGAAATCTCAATCTCTTTCTAAATCATGAGAAAACTCTAAGACGTCTAGAAAATGAGGGGAAGGGCCTTTCTATCACTGTTCTTTGCCTAGTTTTCTAAGCTCAGGTCACCACTTGAAGACTGTTAGCCTAAGGCTTCCATCCCATGAAGAGCCTAAAGTCTGTAGCAAGGCTGAAGGCTTCACACAGAGGGCCCAGTCTCTCCTGAGGGTACCTTGTGGCTTACCCCTATGAGGTCTCCTGCCCTTCCCTGGTGGCTTCTACCTGCTTCTGGGAGAAAGTAGCTAACCTTTTCTCCAGCCCCCTCAGCTCCTGTTCCAAGATCTCCCCATTCTCCTCCCCCCACACTTACCCCTTACCCCTGGTCACCTGGAATGATCTATTCTGGCAGACAGAGACAACCTACCAACCCTTTGCCCTGCTTTGGCCCTGCTGCATAAACTCCGGAAACAGGAGCTCTTAACGCCAGGTGAGAAAGGGGTGCACACCTAAAGGCTCGGTGCATTACCTCCCCATCCACTCAGTTGATACTCCATCCTACAAGTCACTCTGGCAGTATTTCTTGTTGGGAACCAGGAGGCCACCTTTTCCTAAGACATGGCCAACACTGCCTGCTACTCTACACCTTTGACAAACTGATAAAGGCCCATGACACTCTCCCCACAATGCCAGTGGAACCCGGGCACTCGCCTGCTCACAGGGAGAGTCCTCCATCAAAGCTGAATCCTAAAATCTCATTGGGAATCTGACAAGAAAAAAAAGCATAGAAAAGAACTCTATAGCAATGTTGGCCAAAAGAAACAGAATACAGAATACACATGACAGAATTTCCTAGATAATTGTACAAAAGTACAGTTAAACTAAAACTAATGACAATTCAATATATTGGAAATAGTAAATATGCAATCGGTATAACAAGTATTAGTAAGATATTTTGCATTTTTTCACAGCAAGTCTTTGGTGGCCAG